GAAATATTTCAACCCCTGCTCCTGCTCTATTGAACTCATGAAATTATTGAGATAGTTGGCTATTGTAAAAAGTATAATGAAAGAGCGAGCATATGAGAGCTTGTTAGTTCTTTTTGTTTCCTTTATTCATTTTTTTTTTTTTTTGTCATCTACAATAGACGTAAGCAGCCCTTGATATGAATATTTATGTGACGTAAAATGTGAGATGGGCCACCATTATGTCATATGAACATGAAGGATGCCATGCACATTGCACTAAAAACTATCCACAACCAAATAAGTCTCTCTTAAGGCTATTAGATGGCGGTGTAATAAGAAACTATTGGTTGGCTTTCATCAACAAATTCAAGTTTATATGCAAAAAATATGTTTTTTGTCGCCATGTATTTGATTACTCCTATCCCTCTTTGATTCAATCTCAGAATAAATGATGCCAAAGCCATTGATTTGATTGAATTGTATAATTTCATGCAATTTGTAGTTCTCATAGGTCTTGGTCACCTTTTATTATGTTTGAGCAATATTTAAGATTGAATTACCCTTATGGCTCTTTTATATGATTGAATGAACTCTTGGCATGTGAAACTCAATAACGATGGAATTGTTTAATTTGAGATGAGTGATGATTAATGTAGGGTGTTCTCATGGAAGAGGGAGATTATGAAAACTTGTGAAAGCATTAGGTCAATCCATATCAGATAGTTGAAAACATATTGATATATAAATACCAAATGAAACACTATCATTCATAAACTGAAAATTTTGGGTTAAAATTTAAAACTTAAAAGCATATTTGATCCTTTATATATATGCGGAATTTTTTTTTTACTTTTGGTTCACTCTCCTAATGATGTGGTGAGATATTATTAATATTGACCCATATGCACACTTGATTAGGAGTGTAAATGAATTGGATGTTTTAAAATTAATATAAAATTTTAAATATAAATTTAAGAAGTATTTATTGAAAGCATAAAGTAAAATCAAATAAAGGAGTCAAATTTTATTTATATGAAATCATTCACCCTATGATATAGTATGGCTGGGAAGGCAACCTTAAGTGAACCAAGAATTGGACTAGGAAGCAAATGTTATTCATTTATTTTTTTTCCTCTAGGAGCATAGCGACGTCGGCATGGCATAGCTCTGGCGTTGAGCTCTCCAGTGATGAATCGAGTTTGAATGTGCGTTGTGACACTGGATGGCACCGCCGCGATGCCGTGCTCTCTGTTTGGAAAGATTTCAAAGGAATCCATAAGATTTAGTTCAGTGTTGCAGCGTCACTTTAAATTAGTGGTTTTTAAAATAGTGAAATATCTAAAACCAATCGCTAAAATTCTTTTTCCCTGGCCACTGCCAGAGAAGAGAGGAGGGGGGAAGAGAAGAGAGAGAAATTAGGAGAGAGGTTTTGGTGGCCAAAGCTCATGTTTCGTCCATTGGGCCAGTTAGAGATTTCGTTAAGTAAGATGTAGACTTCTGAACTCATATCTCTTATTTCAATTTCAGTAGTTTTATAAGAATTCATTGATAAAAATGTATTTTGCTCGAATTTTATGAAGTTTTTATTGTGTAACTTTTAATATGTCATTGTATACCTTATTATGAATATTATGACAATGAGAATTGAATTTTCACTGGATGATTTTTCCTACACAATTTTTTTAGTTTTATTGAAGCTTTTTATAGTAATTGCAATAGTTATATAGAAGTCTTTAAATTTTTGCATGAATATCTCTCTGAAGTTGAAAGCAGAATAGTAAAAGTTCAATTGGTATAATATAATACATACAACGTGACAAATAGAGCAAGCAAAGCGACATAAATAATCTATAAAGATTAGCGACATAAATAATATATAAAGATTTAATTTTTATATTATGTCTACATCAATGATCCAAAATTATTGATATTAGTCCACTAATAAGTTAAAATAAAAAAAATCATAAAATAAAATTATTATTTAAACTTTATCATTAAAATAACAGTTATAAACCCAAAAGCCTGATATAATAATCAATTCATTGATATTGGTGCAAGGGTCTCCAATTCTTGTGAAATTATTACGTGTGGAACGCCCTTCGGAAGCTAGTCAATATGCGCCACATCATCACTATACTTTGTACCATTATGTATTGAATGACGTGAAGCGTTCTGATGATCTTTGAGCCGTCTGATGACCGCACGTAATAAGTTCTCCCAATTCTTATACATACTAATATACATTAAGATTAAGAGTCATGATGTGACATATTAGTTTTATATCAAAGGCTAAATACCTCATTAGTAGTTAGTGCCCTGGTGGTGTTGGACCTGTTGGTTTATATAATTACTAATATATTATATTTGTCTTTATTAGATGGCATTAGAAATTTGATGTAGATGAAGTACATGCATAATTTACTAATATATATATTTATCAAATAAATGCAAAAAATCAAAGGTGGAACCACCACTATGTCAGAAAAGATTATTAAGCGCGGAGTCATGTAGTCCAAACGTAGCTTTTCATCTGAACCCTAATCACGTGAAGACACATTTTTTTTCTCTTTTGTACACATCCCTTGTATAGGAGAGAGAAAAAAATCCATGTCTGTTCAGACACAGCATATAATAATTTTTCCGACTTCAAGGTGGGCCATTGCCCATCATGACTTTTTTTAACTTTGACCAATATACTTATCATAATTATTTAATCTTTCGTCTCAATAAATACATTTGCCCACTTATTGAGCTTACAAACAAAACTTTAACTTAATAAATTTTAGAAGTCCTGCCCACATGAGCTGAACCATTTGCATGCCCTCATCTATCACATGAGTTAAGAGCTAAAGGAATTGAGTTACATTTTTCTATTTAAATAGATCAATGTTAAATCTCTACATATATAATATGGTAAATGCATATAAGATACCATTTGCATGAAAGCTATTGGGCTTTTTCTTTCTTTAGCAATCTTTCTAGTGAACTTGAAAGCCATCCAAATTTTCATTGTTTTTTCTAATTAATAACTTTTTCATTAATTCTAAACTTGGGTTTATTTAGTTAATAATATTATATTTTTTAATAAAGTAAGTAATTTATTATTTTAATTATATTTTTAATCATGATTTTATATTAGGTGTTGATAGTCATAAAAAAATTGTCATGATTGAGCACAAATCTCGAGGCATATTAAAATTAGAAACTTTCAAAATTAAATTTAGGATCATCCAAATTTCAATTTTAGTAAACTTATAGTCAAATCGAACATCTCAAAGAGATGAACCCAACGACACCAAAATCAATTCAATTCGAAGCCAAATGAGTTCAAATTAAGGGACCAAAACATATTTGAAAGCTTTACAACATTAATTGGATAACTAGAGGATATTCAAATATGGTATACTTATAATCAAATTGAGCGGCTCTATAAATTGAATCCAGCAAGCTCAAGATCACTTAAGTCTGACATCTTTAAGGCACTTAAATGCTTGATGAATGCTCTATGATCGAGGGAACCACTATGAACCGTCTGATAGAGCACTCTCAATTTACCTCAGACCTTCTCCATATTTATGTGACATGTCACACTCAAAATATATAAATAGACAATCTCTTCCCACATTAAGAGAAAAAGACTCTGGGGCCAGATTAAGCTCAAGATCTCTTAATTCTGACCTTTTGAAGCTTGGCAATTTGGCTGAAGCTAGATTGGAGAGAGCTCTGAAACTGCAAGGATCTTAGAGTTCTACCCAAGCATAATCACCGATGAACATTCATCAACCACCTCCGGACCACCGCCTGACACCTATAGTCGTAGGACCTCCGCTCTTCCTCTAACCACTGACAATCTCCTAACCACCAATAACAGTTGCTTGCTGACTACAATCCCCATACCACCGTCGTCTGCTGACTACAATCCTGTCGACCTCCATCGCCAGTAGACTACGGTCTCTATGACCACCGTACCTTACCGACTACGGTCCCTCCAACCTTTGTCGCACCCCCTACTATGATCCTCTGACCTCTGTCCCCCAACAATGGTCCCATCTATCTCAATCGTCTGACTACAACCCCTCCGACCTCCGTTGCACAACTACGATCTTACTGACCAAATGAACATGACAACACTCACTTGAAAATAGCTCTTGCATTGAATTCTTTTAGCCCCAACCATGTAAGGTGTTATATATGATTTATATTTGCTCAATTGAGCCAATGCCTTCCGTCGAAGAAGCACATCATTTGTAATCAAAAACAAATATTAGTGAATTCATATCAATTGGGTCATGCCCCATGCTTTTTTTCCTTTTTAGGATCTTTTATGTAAAAATTTGCCTCTTATGACTTGCACCTCTTTTATCTATATGTGTACTGGATCTTCATACAAATCTTGGACGCTAAACACTATATATCTCGCTAAACACTATCTCTCTGCCGCCACGAATATTCCTTGAATCATCAATATTTCATGATGTTTTAATATTAATTTATTTATGCAATAAATTTGCTTATCTTCAAATTGATAAGCTGATTCTACTTCTCAATCTTATTAAATATCTCTCATGTGATTGTTTGTTGAAATAACATGACTTGATCATTAATTTTGATTAAAAAAAAACATATATCATTAATTTTTGGCTCATTTGGCTCAAATTTGTAATTTATCTGACGCATTAAAAATTTTTAATTAATCTTATCTCAACATAAAATAAAATTTTATCTTTAAACTTATAAATATATATAATTTCTTAAGACCGTTATATGAGAATTTTTATTGGGTCAGGTAACCTGATGTAGAGATACATCAGGTAACCAATAAAAAAATGCCACATGCACTTTAAACAAAAAGCACTCAGCTTTAAATAAAAAAAATGCCACATGCACTTACTTTTTATTTAAAGCTGAGTGCTTTTTGTTTAAAGTGCATGTGGCATTTTTTTATTGGATACTTGATGTATCTCTACATCCGGTTACCTGACCCAATAAAAATTTGTTATATGAAGAGAGAAAGAAGGGCATTACTGTAATTTTAAACTTACTAATGGAGGCTGACTCGGATCCCCACCGTCCTTCAGAAAGCAACGGGAAACGGTGTAGAAAGACCTCTTTTTTGGTCGGCATTGCTTTCCAACATCAATTTTGCACTGATCAGCTCAGCTCTTTTGCGTCCAAGGGCTTTATAGTTTTACATATATATCCTACAAACAATTCAGTTAATTACAAGGGGGCTGGATGCAAAAAAACCTTTCTCATATCATTACACGTGTCGAGCCACAGATCACCCTGCCAACAAATGCCCCAATCAGAAAAAGATAATATTAAGTTTTTTTTTTCCTATGCAAATCTCATAAGGTCTAACAGATAATATAATTTAGCACAAAAAAAAAAAAAAAAAAAAGAATTTAATTATTATTTTATGAATTCCTTATTTCTTCTTCAAATTTTTCAGTTTTTTTGAATATATTCGTTTGGTGAAATAAAAAAATTACAAACATAAATCTCTTTAAATTTAATGTTATTTTAAAAATAAATATAAATATTATGGCTACTTATTTTATCAAAATTTATATAAGAAATAAATTATTTAATCAAATATTTAAAATTTTTAAATCCTATCTACACATTACAATTATTTTTACCCTATCTAAATTCTTCCAACCTTTATCCCACTACTTGGGGCCGGCTACATGAATATTTTTTCTTCATTGCGTTCGGTTAAAATTCAAATTCCCGTGTAGATCAAATAAAGAAAGATCATTTCTAATATTTTCTAACCAAGTCTTTTTAGGTCTACCTCTAACTTTCTTAGCATAGATTAAATTTAATACATCTATTCTCCTAACCGGGTCATCGGAAAGCTGTTGTTTTATGTGATCAAACTATCTAAGGCGACTCTCTCTAATCTTATCTCGCACTAGAGCTACTCCACCCTTTTCCCGTGTATGCTCATTTCGTATTCTGTCTCTAAGAATAAAGCCACTCATCCACCTGAGCAACCTCATCTACGCAACACTTAACTTAATATTATGCTTCTCTTTTAATCATGCTTATTTAAAAAAATTAAAATAATTTGGGCAAGGCATCACCTATAGCAAAGGTAGAATTTCCTCCCCTCCATTTTGAATTTTATTAGGATAGGTGCTTAGTAAAATTACAAATTATATACTTGTAGCCAATAATAAAATGACAGGTGTCTTGCTTGTTATTTCTCATCTATTTAAAATCTCTCCTGTATAACGGCAAGAGTTGAACAAGACAAAATAGCTTTTCCTCTTCTTGATTTATCTTCCTCTTCTCCGGTTTGCTCCGACAATCCGCCGATCCATCCAATTCTACATGGTATCAGGCCTTTCGTTTCCTCTCCTTCTCGTCCTCAATAATGACGAATTCCCATTCCGCTTCTTCCTCAGCTACAGAACAGCAGCCAAGAAATCCGACCGAGAACTCCCCAATATCCCATTCACTTAAGTTCGTTGTGTCAAATCTCAAGACTCTCGTTCCGCATCAATTATCACCGGACAACTATCCGATCTGGCGTCATCAGATTCTCAAGCTCCTTCGGGCAAATGATTTCGAGCAGTTCTTGGCACCGCCCACGCATTCCGGAAATACCTCCGATCCCGATATTGATCGGGTCATCAAGAATTGGAAGATCACCGATCATAACCTTCAAGCTGCGGTTTGCTCTACAATTTCTCCGGCGGTGCTACCCTACATCATCCATCTCGACACAACTCACGAAATCTGGCAAGCGCTAGAAAGTCAATTTCAGGCCACTAGCTGCTCCAAAGTCATTCAGCTTCGCAATGAACTTCATCATGTGTCGATGAAAAACCTCTCAATGACGCAATATCTCACAGAGATCAAGAAGCTCGTCGATCAAATCGCCTCCGCCGGATCCTCCATCGACTCTGAAGACATCATATTACATATCTTGAACGGGCTAACTCCGGCGTATCAATCGTTCAAGACATACGTTCGAAATTCTACCCTACCCATTCGGCTTGAAAATCTTTATGCAATGCTAATAAGCGAAGAAATTCATGTCACTGCCGACGCCGCTCGTCTTCATACTGATACGATCCAGCAATCTGCTCTGTACTCTAACAGAGGTCGAAGTCGTAGGAACCGCGGACGTTCGTCTCAAGCATCCCAGTCAGTCTCTCGCACCGACCAGCCGCAGTCGCTTCCCGTCTGTCAAATTTGCCTCAAGAAAGGGCATACGGCAGACGCATGTTGGCATAGGATGAATGCCAACTATATCCCGCAGTCGAATACATCTAAACAGACTACCGCTCTCGTCGCAAATTCAGAAGCTCCGTCTCAAGACTGGTACCTAGACACAGGGGCCTCTTCGCACATGACGAACACCAGCGACAACCTCTGTCAATCCACTCCCTATATGGGCAACGAAGGTATCTTCATCGGGGACGGCAGGAACATCCCGATTGCCCACTCGGGCACGGGTATTCTTCCGACCCCGAATCGTAAGTTTCTCTTATCTAATTTGCTACATGTTCCAAAAATTTCTTACAATCTTCTGTCCATCTCTCAACTCGTTAAAGATAATAACATTTCAATTACGTTTGACCCTTCCGGTTTTGTATGTAAGGATCTGACGACAAACAAGCAGCTTCTACGCGGTCCTTGTAACGCAGGTCTCTACAATATTACACCTACTTCAACTACCACCTCTCCGGAACTCGCCTGCACTGCATACACGAACCCAAACTTCACCTGGCATGATCGTTTGGGACATCCGCATTTCAAGATTTTGAAGAATATAGCTCAAAGCAATTCATCATTACATATATCTTCTTTCAATTCTTCTTGTACTACTTGTATTCAATGCAAACTGCATAAACTACCTTTTGAAATTTCTACTTCTAGGACGAACACACCACTTGCACTCGTGCACTCCGATGTTTGGGTCTCGTCACCGATTTCGTCTACTAACGGCTTTCGTTTTTTCGTTATATTCGTTGATGATTTTTCACGCTATACCTGGTTGTTTCCAATTATTCATAAATCTGAAGTTACTTCAACGTTTATTACATTTACCAAGTTTATTGAAAATCAAACGAAGCAATCTATTAAGATTCTCAGGACTGACGGTGGAACAGAATTTAACAGTTACGCCATGAAATCTTTTTTTGCATTCCAAAGGGATTGGTCATCAAATGTCCTGTCCTTATACTCCGGAGCAAAACGGAGCGGCCGAGCGTAAGAACCGCCACATTGTGGAGACAGTTCGGTCCTTGCTTCACAAAGCCTCTATGCCATTCCAATATTGGCCCGAGGCCACTGCAACCGCCGTATACTTGATTAACAGGATGCCCTCTCCAAACACCCAAAACAAATCTCCCCTGCAGCTTATCTTTAATACTACTCCCGAGTATACTCATCTTCGGGTCTTCGGGTGTGAATGTTTCCCGCTTCTTCCATCTCATACACGGACGAAATTTGATCCGAAATCAAAATCTCACGTCTTCATGGGATATTCAGACCGGCATAAAGGCTACATTTGCCTCGACAGGGAATCTCATAAACTTTTTATCTCTCGACACGTTCAATTCGTTGAAAATTCGTTTCCATTCGCTACTAATTATCCGTCCTTGCAGATATCTTCACCGGCTCTTCCTTACTCGTTGCTTCTGCCAACGTCTAAATCCCCTGAGTTCAATACGCAGTATACAAGACCTCAGCCACAAGCGTCCACCTCAACCAGTCCCACGCACATTCTCACAGCGTCTCTTATACATCCTCCTCCGCCTAATCATAGTGATATCACCGCCCGTAACACACCTAACCCCGCGCAAGTAAGACATCCAATGATCACTAGAGCTCAGACGGGCTCCCTCAAACCACTGCAACGCCTTAATTTGATGGCTAACACACTAAATCCTGCGGACTCCGACCCCGATCCTACTACTTTCAAAGAAGCATCCAAGCATAGGGAATGGAGGCAAGCAATGGCTGACGAGTTCGTAGCACTTCAACAGCAAGGCACTTGGGATCTTGTCCCACCTCCATCTAACGCTCCCGTCCTCGGTTGCAAATGGACGTTCCGCAAGAAATTCAACTCGGACGGCAACGTGGCTCGTTTTAAGGCTCGGTTAGTCGCTCAGGGCAACCAGCAGGAGTACGGCATCGACTACGGCGAGACGTTCAGTCCGGTTGCTAAACTTCCAACCATAAGGGTCCTCTTCACTATAGCCCTGTCTAAAGGGTGGCCGGTTCAGCAGTTGGATGTATCCAACGCTTTCCTCCATGGACAACTTACAGACACCGTATATATGGCACAACCACGAGGATTCATTGACAACGAATTTCCTGATCACGTTTGCCATCTTCGAAAATCTATATATGGCTTACGTCAGGCACCGAGACAGTGGTATACCACATTCACGAATTACTTAATTCAACTTGGATTTCATTATAGCACGGCGGATCCCTCTCTACTTACATTCAAACAAGATTCGACTCTAATCTTTCTACTCGTATACGTCGACGACATTCTGGTGACCGGGAACAATGAAGCCCTCCTGTCGAACATGCTGTCCAACTACACAGTAAATTCAATATGACGAATCTTGGCTTGGCTCATCACTTTCTTGGCATCAAAATACAAAAACTTCAAGATAAGTATTTCCTCTCTCAGTCCGCTTATGCTACCTCCATTTTAAATTCAGTAAATCTACTTAACTGTAACCCCCTCTCTAATCCCTCGTGCACGAAACTTCCCGATCAGGTTCCATCCGACAGTAATCTATCCGCAAACGAGACCTACAAACGGGTAACAGGATCGCTGCAATACTTGACATTAACCCGTCCGGACATTGCACACGCGGTTAACGTCCTCTCTCAGCACCTGCATGATCCATCTCAAACTCATGCCTACCTTCTCAAGCGACTGTTACGATACATCAAAGGAACATTGTCGTTCGGCTTACCCATTCTACCGGGATCACTCAACCTCTCTACCTACTCAGACGCAGACTGGGCAGGCGATCCAGTAACAAGAAAGTCTACAACGGGTCATTGCACATTCCTCGGCAGCACGCTCGTCTCGTGGACAGTCAAGAAGCATACGACGGTGGCTCGGTCGTCCACAGAATCCGAATACCGGGCACTCGCAGCTGCTACTGCCGACACCATTTGGCTCAAGCGTCTGCTTACCGACTTCGGCATACAACATAGTCAGTCGATCGAGCTCTTCTGCGATAACACCTCTGCAATCGCGCTTGCACACAATCCGGTGTATCACGCCCGCACGAAGCATATCGAAATTGATCACCGGTTCGTCCGCGATAACATTCAAAACCAGGTCATCCGCCTCACTCCGATCGGCACTCTTCATCAAATCGCGGACATCTTCACTAAGCCACTACCTACCGCTCGATTCAAGGATCTCCGTTACAAACACAATTCAAGATGAATCATCAGTTTGACAGGGGCTATTAGGATAGGTGCTTAGTAAAATTACAAATTATATACTTGTAGCCAATAATAAAATGACAGGTGTCTTGCTTGTTATTTCTCATCTATTTAAACTCTCTCCTGTATAACGGCAAGAGATGAACAAGACAAAATAGCTTTTCCTCTTCTTGATTTATCTTCCTCTTCTCCGGCTAGCTCAGACAATCCGCCGATCCATCCAATTCTACAAAATTCTTGAAAGAATTTCTGACCTTCTGTTTAAAAAGTAGAAAAGATTTGCAGAGGCACTCTTAATGCAAACTCTTATCAGCTGGATGCTTTACATAAAACAAAGCCTATTTCCTAATTTCTATTTTTTTTTTTAATTATTTATATAACTTTATGTGATTTATGTTGTTCAATGAGTTCATCATGATATGGATTTCCATCGAAATATAATTATTTAAGCAAAAAGAAATTGCAGAGAGCTTATTTTAATTGGTAAAATAAAATAGCAGACGAGTCAAAAGGTATTATTACAATGAAGCAGTCAAACGCATGATTTTGCAGAGAGGCATTCTTTGGAGGAATGATTGTGCTATCCAACTAAATAGAAATATGTGATTCATGTTGCGAGCAGGAGAAGAATGTGCCCTCACCGATTCAAATCTGCCTTTATAAATCATTCATCTATTTTACTCAATTTGCCTCATAACTCAATTTGCTTCATAAGACACTACCCAGAGATTTTACCCTCATTTTATTGGGACTTAATGATCTGAGTTCTAATTTCCTATAAGTGCAAGCCCCTATAATTAATTACCCCTCCCGATCACTAATGCTAGTCATTAACAAATACGTTGTATCCAAAGATATGTGGTATCCAACATATAGCAGCAGCATAGGACAACTTTCTTACTTCTGCTTAAAACAATTATTTAGTAAAAAATTAATTTTTTTATTAAAAAAAGCATTAAAAAAACTGTTCCAAGCGAAGCCTAAATCGGCATATTCTAAATATGTCTTTCCATTGTCTCCATTAAATGTTATTTTCATTGTCTATTACATTTTGTGCGATGGACCACATTTATCACATGATGTAACTTATTGGTCTAAGCCAGCTTGTATGAGACTTTGACAATAAAGGCAAGAGAAGATATGTGTATTACGTTATAAGAATTCTTGTGACTGAAAATTATAGTTAAAATGTTAATGATACTGTTGCCTATTTATGATGATAGACAGAATTTTTTTTTTAATCTTAGAATTATATTAAAAAATCGACACTTATAAGTTAAAACTTGGTTCTTAAATATGCAAATTTTCACTCAAGAAAGAAAAAAAAAATAATAATTTAGATCAAGTAATATAGTTGCATAAGTTTTAATCAATTAGTATAAAAGATGTCATTAGTACTAATACCAAAGTAATTAATACAATAAAATAGGTATAAATTATTTTAAATTTATTTGTATTCTTAATTGAAATTTAGGGGGCGTCTAAAGTTATTATCAATCATACGTGGACGACTTGATTGTCCTACTCAAAAAGGAGAGATTGAGCGATCAAAACATGTATTTAATGGCGATGGATGTACATCACGCTTTGATTTTTGGCATGCGTAGAGCAAAAGATTATCAAGGGACGTTGAAAGTCATCACACTTAGAGCTGCAAATAAATCAAGCATTTAATGAGCTACTTGTGGCTCGGCTCGATAAGAGCTTATTTATTTACGTTTGATAAGATAAATGAACAAATTTGAACAACTTTGACAATACTTGATAGTTAAATAAACAATCTTAAACAACCTAATATTCGACTCATTTATGTTCACGAACAACATTGTTTAGAGTTCATAAATATGCTCATTAAAAAGCTTGATTATACCTTATTTAATTAAAAATAAATATTATATCTTATTTAACAAATAAACTAATGAAATCAATTTAGAATTATATCTCCATTAAAAAGCTTGTTTATTCTCTCTCTCTCTCTCTCTCTCTCTCTCTTACATTTTTATCCTCCCACCCATTGTTTTTCTCTCCTCAGTGACTATAGGAAAAAAAAAAATTTTGTTAAAGGGTATTTAGCTCTACACCGCCTAAAACAAGATGATGTTGTTGTATAAAGAAAAATACATGCGACTGTTGGTTGGTGAATAACAGGCAGCATTGGGACTAGGTAGGTCGGGTTAGATTTCAGTCCGCAATTTGGGCTGAATGAATCCATAGTTGGCTTAGCTTCATTTGATTAAAAAAAATATTTTATGCATTTTGAGCAGGCTCCACTCAGCTCGTTTAACGTTAAATGAACCGCCCAATAAGAAAATCGTTAAGCTTGAATTAAACGAAACATGAGCCAAGCTCAAAGGTGCTAGTTTTAAACGAGCTCAAACTCAAACAACTCTCCAAGTAACTCAACGAGCTTCGAGCCGAGCTTGATCGCGGTTTTGACAAACGAGCTTGAACACGAACAGGCTGAAGCTTGGCTCAGCTCAGTTTATTTGCAGCCCTAGTCACACTTTGATTTCATTTGGAACCGCTTTCTTATTATTTTTAAAACAACATTTAAGTACACATTTTATCTCAAAAATTCTTACTAAAAAGCTGCACAAAAAATAGTAAAAAAAAAAAAAAAAAAAAAAAAAAAAAAAAACTATCTCAAAAGAAGCTTTTATTAAATGGAGGATCAACATCAACAATAGCATAGACCAGCTTACTCTTTAGCATACCTTCTAAAAAAACTAAAAAAATGGCACACATCATTATATGAAAGAATAAATAACTCATGGTCATAAATGAACTAACATGTAAATAGTCCATGTAATGAAATAATGCCATGAAAAACCGAGTGACGAATGCAAATATCTGTCATAGTATGAATGGCTTATATATTATTTCATATTTAACCAAGTATGGATTCCTTCCAGATTTAATGTGCTTTCCATTGAGAAGTTACTAAGCTTCTATGAGCACATTGAGATGATCAATTGAGTGCTAGATTTGATGCATTAACAATACTTCCATTGAGTTTGAGTTTATCTATTAAGAAATACTTGAAGATCTCAAGTAAACCCTAACAATAGAGACAAAAATAGCTAGAATACTCCACAAATCCAATGGACAAACAAGCAAAACAATAGTTTTTATTGCAAAAATCAAACTAACGAAAGAAAAATAACAAGATACAATTGATCATCAATTCGAGAGGAGAATCTATCTCTTATAATCCCTAGACGCCACTAGAGCCCAAGACACCAAACTCCAAGAACAAGAACATCTCAAATAATTTGTATAACCCTAAGTCCATAACCCTAATCCTCTCTTCCTATTTAAAACAAACAATTAAACAACAAATACCCAAACAACTCTCCCCTAATCCATCCCATATCCTTAATTATTTCTCTTCCAAATCAGCCCCATCCCATAAATCTGTCCTCTTCAATTATGAAATATTTCCTAATTAATCCCCCAAATCAGCCCCTAAATATGTCCTCTTTAATTATGAAACATTTCCAAACTAATCCCCTCTAAATCAGCCCCCACACATGCTCTCTTCAATTAAGAAACATCTCCTAATTAATTCCTTTCGATTAAGAACCTTCCTAAACAACTCCCTCTTGATTAGAAAATTTCCTAATTCCCTCATAATCAAATTTGGCTGGTCTATCATTATCTTATATAAAACTTTTATAGAACTTTGGGTGATGGGTTAAAACAAGACGGGCATAGCAATAAAGGGAGAGGTTCGATCAAACTTAAACAAGTAGTTTTTGAATTGATTTTAATTGGGCTATATTTTCTAGATGGATCTATATATATATATATATATAAGAGTTAAAACCATTTTAGTAGCAATGTGTCCCTTATAACACTACAGCTATCGAATGTAAGCAAATTTGGCCTCATACTTAATGTAATAGAACATGATCATCATATATCGTAAATAATACTTATTTTCTCTCATTTCTTTCTTGATAGTTGATACAAATTTATTGTAGGCACCTAGCATCACTTTCCTACATCTGAGGTCAAGAGCTCGATAGCTTCTCGGCCCTGCGTCAAACTGGTCAACTAATTTTGGTCAGATAAGAGGACAAAATCAAGTCAAGGGTGAACTAATCTCAATAATACATAAATTTTGATTACGAGGTGGCCTGTGGCATAACAAAAAATTCAACTCCCTACTAAAGTTTTCAGTTACTACTAAAAAACCCTGTCCAAAGTTATCCGGAGAATTTGGTGATGAAAAAAGTGAATAGTTTCAGACACAAATAAACAACTAATTTACAAGAACCTAAATAATGATCTTGAAGAAGAAATCAATGAGGATAATAGGTCAATAATCACCAGGTTCGAAGTTCATCTTTTTTCCCAGGTAAAATGCATTCAGGTACGATATTCAAAGTTCAAGTTAAAACCCAAGTCAATTATAAGCATGCAGGAAAAAAATTAAACACAAAAAAACTGACTTTTATGATACCATCCTTCCAGAAGTAAATAATAAATCAAACATCCGGCAAAACACCAACAAACAAACTAATATAGCTCCTTACGAATTCTTCAAGTTTTTATGATGCCGAATAATCTTAATAAAAAGCATTCATGTTAAAGTCAGCACCGTTTTCTTTATTATTATTTTTTTTTTTCAAAATATCATTCTTTATGTTTTTTCAAAATGGCCAGACCAAGATGCAATTCATTTAACCATAAACTTAGTAAAGAAAAATCTCACCGTTGATCATAATATTAAAGAATTCTGGCAGTTAAAATCCCCATATCCAACATCAACAAGACAGAGGCCATCAGGAGGAGCCGGAGGAGCAGTGGCACGTCTGCATGTTGCATTCATCAGATTGAGCAAAGCATCTGCATCGGCACCTGCTGCCGCCTCTCTTATGGCGGTGGCAACAAGTACACGAACCATCTGGATCAATCATCACGAATTAAAGGTATAATTTTCATCTTCCTAAGGCTATGTTAGGATGTTAAGAATTTGCGTTAGAGGAAATGAAAAAAATTAAATAAAATAAAAAGGTTGAATGGCTCAAATGAATGGCATAAAATTCATAATCAATCAAACAAAGCCAAGCTTCCACATGACTACGGTTCAAAGTTCCAATAAATAAGGTAATCATATAAGCAAAAGCACAACTACCGGATTACCTTACGCAAGAAACGATTTGCTACCAATTCCACACACATCACCTTTATTTCTTCCGTGGAATCCTACAGATGAAAAGAAAATTTTCAGAATGTTATCGCCATTAAACCAAGAAAAATAATCACTTTTCTGAAGAAAAGTGCAAGTGCTTTTCTCTGAACAAATTTAAGAGAAAGGAATGATCATAAAAATGTACGCTACATAATCAAGGCAGGAACTATAATCAAATTACATATACAAGAGACAAGTCACAATGCTAAATGGGGTTCTGCATACTCAGGTTGGCTCCAAATATAGCATAATTTGAAAACAAACCAACTCAAACAGACCGTCGAGCTGGAAACCATACTGACCAAAAATCAAAATAAACTGAATAAATTGCTCGGTTCTGTTCAAATAGGTTTCAATTTGGTTTTAGCTTTAGAGTTCGAAACCACAAAGTTGCCTGAATCTTTTCAATTTACAACTGTTTTTTGGTTCAAATTGGTTCGAATTGTTTGGTTTAACATACGGTATATTTAGGAGAGGTTTATGGGTTATATCATTGAAATCAACCCATTCTTTTCAATTAGATTAGTCAAAATACATCATGCATAACAAATTCAAATTATTTAATTTTAATCCGTTTACCAAAACCAAAACCTAAAGAAAATTAATTAGCAAATGAAATATTACAATCACAACCGGGGTCAGATTAAACCAACAGAAATTTTGGGCTTGGTGTGGTTTTTCGGATTAGGTCTTGGCCCTCCAAGTGATCGTAATATCCCTAACAAACACAAGTACATCCTTGCTTGGCTTAATGGAGAAAAAACTTAAAAATTTAATCCAAGCCAAATGAAAGCCAACCATGTCATATTCTCTTCCTGCATCCAAATTAATGTATAATCATCTATTCACTCAATAGTTTAAAAAAGATGAAATCCCATGGACATCCTTGACAACCCAACAACATCAAGCCTTTCCATGGACATCTGTTGACCCCTGCATCGAAATACACACAAAAAAGGCAAAATCGACGACTTGAGTGATGTGTGCGTCGGCGCTGAGTGGCGCGTCACTTGAAGGGTCAAACAACCTATGATTGTCAAACAGACTGCGCCGTTGCAATCAGGACGTCAAATTCGCCTACGAGGGAACCCCTCACAGTCAAATCGAACAAGATCGGTCAAAACGGACGATCGACGCCTGAAATTGATGTGCAACGTCGCACAAACAACGTCCGATCGCAAAACAGACTTTCACTGTTGTGTTCGAGACGCCGTCAATAACCAATAATGACCATAAATTTGTTCACAGTCGCGTAAGGAGATCAACACAGATCCAAAGGCATATATGCACAAATCAAGGAAATTGATGCGCGATGTTGCCTAAATGATGTCTGATTGCAAAAAGGACTTCGTCGTTGCATTCAAAACGTCAACAATACTTAAAATTGACTACAAATTTGCTTAAAAAATTCGCCCAAGGGAATTGGCGAGAATCCAGAGGCAATTTCGCACGCAAATTATGATGCAATTGACCAGTTTTCCTCATTTTGTTAATTTAAAATAATAATTATTAAAACATATACAATAAAAAAGATCTTATTTTTAGTAATAAAAAATAAAAAAGAGGGCATATGTACTTGTCGTTCAGCGTAGATGGCTACAATGTCCACCTCACAGGATTTCTGATGCGATTCTGCCTCGTCATTAAAAGGAATGAACCAAGGCCTTAGTCTTGTTATGTTTTCTACGCTCAAACAACCAGTCCCTAATTCCTGCGAGATCCACATGCTTTCTCTCTAATCACACACAACTGAAACATTCGATCAATTCAATCTCCATTGTCTACCTGAACATCCTTGACCTCGACCACCTCATGGTCTCTAGTCCATCGAACCGAAGCATCCAGCACTTCCAGCCCCCTTTGCCGTAAGCCATCCTTCCTCACTCGATCGATCGAGCTCCCTCAAGCCAATCAAATGAAGACCCCTCCTTGCCGCAACTCATAGCACCAGAGTCGAACTACTTGCTACAGCAACTACCTACTACCTCTGATCCAACCTCAGTTGCTCAACACATGTTCACAGTCACTCGATTCCTGGCCAAATCCACGACTCCCAACCGAATACCCCCAGTCGGATCCCGCGATCCAACCGAGGTCCCAATTTGGCTCCTCCCTCCGAATTGAGTACCTAGCTCTCGCATATGCCTCCTCTGCTTAACCCCAACCCATTCGACCGAACCTTCAAACAAGCCAAAACAAATAAAAGGAAGAATAAAAGAGAAGACATAATCACACAAAAAAAGAAGAAAAGAGGATAATTCAAAAAAAGATGAAAAATGAATGAAAAAATGAAAATTTTGAGCATATTCACCACCGGCACATCATCACCAATCACCTCCTATAGGTATAATGATTTCTAAATACAAATCCCCCAAATCCCATTTTTGGTGCTCCCAGTGCACCAGACACGCTCTCCGTAGCGTGGTGGGGATAATTTTAAGTACCCGTAAAGCCTAAAATTATTTAAAATTGAAATTAATCATCAAACACTTAAAGAAAAATCCATCCACCCTCCACAATAGCTTGTCGAGGTGGACAAATCTAAAAATCACTCTCCAGCTCACAAAGAGCCAATGTCTAGTCGATAATATCACTATGATTCATTCTCAAACAATCTCTTGCCAGTAAGAATGTGACAAGTGTACTTTAACTGGTGGTTTTCCTGCCAAATGGCACCACATATAAATGATTATGATCGGGACATTCTAAACCGGGTGGTTTTGCCACCAAATGGCAACACTAAATTATAGTCATGGTCAGAGCTAGCATGTTCCCCAATAGCTTCAAATCATTGAGAAATAAATTAATATGATATAATCCATAGAGCACAAAGCCCTCTGTTAGCTAAAGTGAATTCAGACTTGTCCTTTAGAAAAATATTTACCCCAGATCTACAAGGTACCATTGGCCAAAGCAACTCATGGCTGCCAACAACGATTCTTCTGTCAGGTTGGGTCGAAACCTCCTATGACTAAGTAGACCATGGATCAAGATGACTCGGGATGACGGAACCATGGGATCTTGATCGAGCACATCATAATTCCCCCCACCATCCGCTTTAATTACGAGGAAGTGAATTTTTAATTTTAAATATTAAATTTTCAAATATCAAACTCATGCTTCTACTATACATCAGATATTATGTATCTATGGATACTATGTATATATTCAATGACTAGCCTTAATCGAAAGTTCTCTCTTGCTATCGGGAGGGATAATTAACTATAGGGGTTTGCGCCTATAGGAAACCTGAACTCATATCATAAAGTCCTCGCAAAATGGGGGCAAAATCTCTACGTAATGTCCAATTCAAAACCTAATCCGCCTTTTGAAAATTTTCCTTGGAACTTAAGCGTTAAAACTCTCCCCGACAACCTAAAGTTGAAGAAAGGGTCTCCGGAGAGGCCGAGGTGCGAATTTTTGGAGCCCACAACATCCTTGACAACCCAACAACAACAAGTCTTTATCCCATTACACGGGGGCATCCTTACAATCCATTTTCACAAAATTGGAATTAATGAAACATCATTATATAAGGAAAAAAACACAAATCACCAATTATTAACTAGATTTGAAGAATTAATGTCCACAGCAAAGTAATTTCTTAATAAACAAAAAACAACTTGGTCATGTCCGAATTAATAGGAACAGTATTAATTAAAATGCCATGCCACTATCTTCACGCAGATCCCAAATATTTAGGATAGACAACTGATAAGGATAACAATGATGATGATAACCCTGATGGTAATGATGATGATGCCATGCCAGGCTACTTGTCTGTCTGATTTGTACACTCTTCAGATGTCTGTTTCTTAAATCTGAATTTGAAAACTTTCATCTATTTTTGGAACTCTACAGCAAAACAATTCTTCTTACGGAGACTATAACTATTTATCTCTAAAATAACACACCAAGGCACTTTTTAGGAACACTTGTGTACAAAGCATTGGCAATTAATGTAATGAATTAAAAAGAAAAAAATGCAGATCATCACTTAGCTCAACAGCTATCGGAAATTCTCTCATCACATAATTACTTCAATACAAGTTATTGCTGCGTAATGCAGATCGTATGTTCATCTGTAACCTCGCCATACAAACTTTTTAATCCCAGAGTATTAAGTTTTTTTTTTCAAAAATATAACTGCCGAGACTAATCATGAGGAAACATGCCAACATTTGGACACAAGCGATGAGCCGACAAGGATTTGTAAGACAAGTTTCCATTTCCCTTATATTTGTATTTCTAATGTCAAAAGAGAAAAAAAAAAAAATGCATGCATGTCCTCGAAAATTTAAACTATAAAATAAACAAAGAAAAAAGAAAAATAATTAAGGCTTCAGTGTAATGTTCATTCGCCAATGGTCAGTCGAAGTAACCTTGTCGATGCAGGGCAGCTTGGCTTCAGCAGCACGAGCATGAAACATGAAACACTCTGTTGGCGGACCCCTGAAAAAGACGGGCCAAGAAGCTAAGAAACTCAAGTACAATATGGCTAGAATCAACTTTTCTTATATTTCTATCTTTTTCCACTTTACCTTTACAGTGGAAAGAGGACGCGGGATGTTGCAAAGAAAAAAAAAACTTTAACAGCAACTAAATCTAAAGGAAAAAAAAAAAAAACTTGCACAAATACTTCTACTATTTTTAATAAAAAAAAATTTTACAACTAAAACAGTGTATATGACTTCTAACATAGAAGGCCTAAACATCAAGTCAGTACAGGCGGTTAGCCTCCTTAACTTCACATAGTAAGCAGAGTATAAGCCACCGCAACAACAACAACAAGCCTTTATCCCATTATATGGGGTCGGCTACATGAATCTTTTTTTCTCCATTCTGTCCTGTTAAGAGTCAAATTCTCATCTAAATCTAATAAAGAAAGGCCATTTCTAATATTTTCTAACCAAGTCTTTTTAGATCTACATTTACCTTTCTTAACATAAGTCAAATCCAATACATCTACATTCCTAACCGGGACATCTGTCGTCGGAAGGCTGTCATTTTATGTGACCAAATCATCTAAGGCAACTCGCTCTAATCTTATCTTCCACTGGAGCTACAAACTTTTCATGAATATGCTCATTTCTTATGCTATATCTCTAAGAGTAAAGCCAATCATCCGCCTGAGCATCCTCATCTCTGAAACACTAAACTTAATATTATGCTTCTCTTATAATGGCCAACATTATGCACCATAAAGTATTGGAGGTCTCACTACTCTTATAGAATTTTCCCTAAAGTTTGAGAGGGATTTTTCTATCACACAACAAGTCCGATGCATTCCTCCATTTGAACCGTCCAACTTGAATTCTACTAATAATATCCCAATCTATTTCACCATCACTCTAAAAAATAGACCCAAGATATCTAAAATGTGTACTAAAATTCAAGTTTACCTTGATCATCCAAAGTCACAATCCCCCCAATAGATCTATTATTACTAAAATTACACTCCATACATTTAATTTAAGATCTACTCAAACGAAAGCCTTCAAACTCTAAGAATGACCTCCATAATTCAAGTTTACCTTCAACTCCCTATCTAGCCTTATCAACAAGAAGAATATCATCAGCAAAAAGCATACACTAGGCTACAACATCTTGCAAATGTCTAGTGAGAATATCCATGACTAAAGCAAAAATATATGGGCTTTTAAGGCAAATCCTTGATGTAATCCATCTGCAATAGAAAAATACTTGGTCAAACCACATTGTGTTTGAACACAAGTAACAACTCTTGCATACATATCCATAATGACTTAATATAAGCATTATTAACCCCTTTCTTTTCTGGAACTCTCCATGGCACTTTTCTTGGAACTTTATCATATGCTTTCTCTAAATCAATAAAAAATCATATGTAGATCCTCCTTATTCTCTCTATACTTCATCAAATCTCTCCATAAATGTATAGCTTCCATAGTAGACCTACCTGACATGAATCCAAGTTGATTTTGAGAAACATTAGTATCACAACATAACCTATGCTCCATAACCCTCCCATAGTTTTAAAGTATGACACATCAATTTAATTCTTCTATAATTCACACAATCTTTTGCATCACCTTTATTTTTAAAATAGAAATCAACAAACTCATTCTCCTCACATCTGGCATCTTTATAGTTTTCAAAATAATATTAAAAAGTTTAGTAAGCCAAGAAATTCCTTCATCTCCTAAGCATTTCCAGCATTTCCAAACCTTTATTGGAATATCATCAAATCCAACAACTTTTCCACACTTCATTTTCTTTAAAGTCTTTTTACTTCGGTTTTATCAATATGTCGATAAAAACAATTTTTTTTTTCATTCAGGGTGCTAAGGTCACTAAAGTCAATCGTATTCTCACAATTTTCATTGAAAAGTTTAGAAAAATATCTCATCCACCTTTATTGAATATCCTCTTCTAATAAAAGTACTTTTTGATCTTCATCCTTAATACACTTCACTTGAACTAAATCCTTACAGCTCCTGTCTCTTTGTTTAGCTAACTTTTACATATATCTTTAGCACTCCTTAGTATCTAATCTATTATATAAATCATTAAAAACTAAAATATTTGCATCACATATTGCTTTCATAGACTTTTTATGGGTCTCTTTATATCTTAGAATTTTTACAACCACTTTTTATAGCAAATATACTTATTTTTTATTTTTTTTGCACATTTTGATTGCAGCACCAACTATTTTACTATTAATAGTCTTTCCCTTAGATACTCCAAATACATCTTTTGCAACATACTTAATATCACTAGCTATATTTTTCCACATAACATTAGCTTCCTTGTGCACAAACAAAATAAGCCACCACTGGGAAATAAAATTATATATATATAAGGACTTGGAAAACAATTTTATATATGACACTTCATCAGAAACAGTATAGCTGTTATCAATTGTCCAGAATAAAAGTGGGAAGGTAAGAAATAGGGAGTTGAGAGATATATCGAGAATTTGGTAACTGCATGGGCTTGAGAACCAACTAAACCGAGAATTCATTAAGTATATATGACGGAAGGTAGGCAGACTGCCACTAAGAAGAGATGGTTTAAGAGAAAGTTATGTGCATAAGACGGTACTGACATGCATGACAACAATTTATTGTTTGAATAAAACGTATGCTGGGTGAGACCTCAAAAATAATGAGCGATGATGAAGAAACCTATGCCTGAATTCCATTTCCAAAAAAAAAAAAAAAGCCAAAGCGTGTTGTTCAAGAGGCTCAAATGCTATGTTTCCAAATCATAATATTATGCAGAAAGCCATGGTGGCTTGGATACTTACGAGCTTCTAGAGGTTTTTGTATCCCGAGCAAATGTTCTATAGGACAAAGACCTCCCCTCTAACTGGCATAAAAGCTGGTTAACTTTATCCACACTAAAACTTGATGGCTTCATCCGCATGTCAACATTATCAATACAATTGTCTCCCTTGTTGAAAGTCGAACCATCTCTATCCTCAATATGCTCTGCCTGCTGTTGCAACAACCCATCATCCTCATTCTTGCTGCTTGAGTTGTCCATAGGATTAGCATTGACTTGAATTTGCAGACTATCTGCCAGTGGGAAGATATAGAAGTATCGCCTCCACTTTGCAGAAAAATTTGGATGGAAAACTCGGGAAACCTGTATTTGTTGATTTTTTTAAGAATTAATACATCATTCGTCATCTCTAGACACAAGGACAAAATTAAGACAGCTGTGGGAATTTAACTGGCACAAACATATGGGGATGCCAACATTACTGCACAATGAGAAAGTTCAACATACTAAGTTTTAATAGAAAAAAAATAAAAAGCAGCACACAATACAAAGAGATTAAAATCATAACAGCTTCAAAGTTTTAACTATTGCATATATAATAAACATTCAAATTGCGGCACATCTAAAGCATAAGACTTCTAGCAAATTAACAGAGATGCTAGGATGGAAGACCTACAGATTAGCACTAGCTTTAATTTCCCCAGCTCGCTAAAAATAAACAATTAATCCATATAAGCAAAATTGACCAAAATAAAATATTTTTTTCTCCAACAAGTCACTGCCCAGTTTCACCTTTCGTTTATCAAAGGCTTGCAATCTAAAACATTTATAAAGAAAATAAATTCTCATATAGGAAACAATACTTGATCACACGATCCCTATAAAATATAGATTCCTGCACTGACAGGATGAAAATATGTCATAATATGTAAGCCGACCACAAATGCGAGTTCACACAAATGCAAGGCATTCACAAGTGCATGGGTATGCATCTGTAATCTTACCTGAGAGCATCCATATAAGCACGGATATGGAGAAGGAATTTCAGATAAGTTTATTCTAGGGCTGGGAGGTGCCGCTGGTTGAACAGGATTTCTACTTTTTACTCCTCTTACTCCTACAGTTGCTACGAAGTATGAGGCAGTGACGTAGTGTGTACATTTTAAATCCTAAAAAGCATCTCTTCAGATTAATTTTTGGGCAGCATTAAAAACTGTTTGAAAGTAAAGTGCTTTCGCCTTCCTCTGGCTTCAAAACACAATTTTTTCAAACAATTCTGAATGGAGTTCATCCCTTTATAGTGCTAGATGGGGATGGTAATATAGCCCACACATAAATTATTACATGCTCACAGGTTGGGAACAGAATATTGATATTAAAGTTATTAAATTATATGACTACATTGTACTCCTATGATGATTGTATTATAGATGATATAAGATAAGATCAGATATGATCCTTTTTATATTCATGTTATTATTATAGATGGAAATACTCCAAATGTTTATATTACATTTAAATTAGATTAAATGAAATATTCTATTGTGTTATAATGATTTAATTATTAGAACTAGCATATAGATTATTTTCTCATTATCTTTTGTTACTATGATTTTAGACTGTAATGCACCGAGTTATGTTAATAACTTACTAGAATTGAATGAGTGAGAGAAGAGATTTTGGGTATCGTCAACGTGGAGCTACAAGTGAACAGAATATTTTGGATATAGATGATAAGCAAACAGCATTAAATTTGCAGCACTTATGGTTTAAAATGAAATTCATAAATTATTAGTTCTTTCAATGCATTGTATGATGATGTTTTAAGAATGTTAATGAATTTTTTATATATTTTTTTTTATAAGTAGAAATATTTAAATTTCCGTTGACCGCGTATTCTTGCCTTGATATTCCAAGCTCCTAGCCCAAATCACGACAAAATATCTTGATGCATTCAAACTAACTCAGAATTAGGTTGTAGTCAAATATCACCTTCAGCATATTTATATAGCAATTAAAAACATTATTGAAACAACAGTTTTTGAAGAAGTCATGAAAAAATTAATGACAAGAAAAACTTGGCGATAAGAAAAACTTGGCCCTTCTTTTGAACCAAGATAGGGGAACCAATCACATACTACCAAAAAGCTTTACAAAGTTGACTGCCAACTGTAACAGCCACTCGTATCGTCCATAATAAAGAGGTTTGCACCAATAAGTATATAGACAAAAAAACCATTATTACACGTTGAATATCTAAAATTCACGTTCATAATAAAACACAACAAATTGCAGCATGTCAGAAAAACATTGCAAATAGAAATGCTTACCTCGGATATAAAGAGAACACGTAGTTTTCCTGGGGCTGCTGCATTGATAGCATCCTTCAAATCACTAGATTTAACATCTTTTCTCCATGTATCTGGTTAACATCACAAAATAGTAATTTCATATGTCAAGAAATGTAAAGCAAGTGGCTGTTACCAGAGCATGAACTTTATTATAAAGGGCCGGAATTCCACAAAAACATTTTTTTTTGTAAATTCTATATAGGAGACAGAAGATATAACTACAAGATCCTAATAGTTATACACGTGTAATTCTCATCCCGATGCTATGGTAGAAATGTTTCCTTTCATGCTAACTATTCTTCTCATTTCAACACCACAAAATTTGTAGTCGTGCTATATTACTTAGAAAAAACTAACCACCCTAATATCCAAGAAATAGTCAAGCTGCTCTACAAGTTAGTTATAAACATGAAGGTGTACAAATCAATATAGTACCCTACATCATGCATTTTTTACACATCATATTTGCGATGTGTTTTAAACATGGGGAAATCACATACATAACACTTACAACTACAAATGATGCAAGAGTATACCTTTTTCTTTTTTTTGAAAGAAAAAAAAAATTATCTCAGCATTTTGATAAGAAGCGCTTGCAGAAATAGGAAATGCTTTAGCTGAGATCTGATTTCAGCAATTTTAGAAAACCAACTACATAAAACGAGTAGAACACACAAGAACATTTTTTATTGAAAGTTTTATGAACGAAAAGACAAAATACAAGTGGAACTTCAATTGGAGAGGAAGATCCGGCTCTCCCAACTCTAGCCGCCGGCTAGAGCCCAAACACCCTACGAAAAATTAAAATTCAGCAAACAACACATACCCCTAACCCTAGGAAAATCACATACTTAAAGAAAACAATAAACAGAAAATACCCAAACAGACCTCCACGAATTCCCTCCAAACTTTGTCATATTTCCTTAATTATTTCCCTCCCAAATATGCCCTCTTCAATTAGAAAATATTTTATAATTAAATCCCCTCCAAATCAACCCCCAAATATGCCCTCTTCAATTAGAAAATATTTCCTAATTAACCTCCTCCCAATCAGCCCCCCTCTCCCGCAGCTCCAACTCCTGTAGTATCAATGCTTTGATAATAATTTGATAGAAAGTTCACGTAGAAATTTAGTAAAAGCTTTGGCTGAGATCTGATTTCGGCAATTTCAAAAAATAAACAACAAGAAAATTAGGAGTAGTACACAAAAGAAAACTTTTTATTGAATGTTTTATAAAAGAAAAGACAAGATACAAGTGGATCTTCAATTGGAGAGGAGGATCCGGCTCTCCCAAATCTCTAGCCGCAGACTAGAGCCCAAACACCCCAAGAACAATCAAAATTCAGCAAACGATTCAGCAAACGACACATACCCCTAACCCTAGAAAAATCGCCTACTTAAAGCAAACAATAAATGGTAAATACCTAAACAGCCCTACCTGAATTCCCTCTCAAATCTACCATATTTTCTTAATTATTTACCTCCCAAATCAGCCCTCAAAACTGTTCTCTTCAATTAGAAAATATTTTCTAATTAATTCCCTTCAAACCAGCCCCCCTCACTTGTGGCTTCCTGTATGGTCAAAACCATCCCCTACACACTCTACCTGTCTCTATATTCCCAACGCTCATCATCACCCCATAACACCCTGTGTCTACTACTTTCACCCTCATTTGGTCTACGAACTAGTTGAAGATGAAATTGTGGGTAGCCGCACTGTATGATCAATTTTATATTTTCTCATTTAACATTCCGATAACTAATCTTGAAGAAAAACAACATAATAATACAAAATCAATGAGTCATCCTAACTTAGGCTCTCCTCCAATGTCTCTACCTGAAAATGAGCCTTAACAAGTTAACACTCTTTGTTATCAGACCATCACAAGTATATAAGAAGGTCATAACTTATCCAATCTCTCTTACAGGTTCAAGACTCGAAACCTATACTAGGTAGTCCCCTACATCTTCCCTCATTTCATCTAGTAACAATATTGATCAACATATAGTCATTAGGAAAGTCATCAGAAAATGTATTCAACATCTCTTATATCTCACAACTCAGTACACATCCTTTGAAAATTTATCTCCAACAAATAGAGCTTTTCTCATAAAATTCTTATTTTCATGAAATTCTACGAACCATATTTGAAACAATACAACAACAACGATAACAACAACATCAAGCCTTTCCAATACGTGGGGTCAGCTACATAAATCTTCTTTTTTTTCATTGTGTACTATTAAGAGTCAAATTCTCTTTTAAATGTAATAAAAAATATCATTTCTAACATTTTTAACCAAGTCTTTTTAGATCTACCTCTACCTTTCTTAACATAGGTTAAATCTAACACATCTATTCTCCTAACGGGTCATTGGAAGGCCAACATCTTATGTGACCAGCCCATCTAAGATACTCTAATCTTATCTGTCACTGGAGCTACTCTAACCTTTTTCATGTATATACTCATTTTGTATTCTATCTCTAAGTATAAATTCAATCATCCACCTCAGCATCCTCATCTCTGCAACACAACTTAATTTTATGTAATCTTTTAATGGTCAATATTCTGCATCATAAAGCATTGAAGATATCATCACCATCTTATAAAATTTTCCCTCAAGTTTGAGGGTACTTTTCTGTCATAGAACAGGCTAATGCATTCCTCCATTTCAACCACCCAACTTGAATTCTACTAATAATATCACCATCTATTTCATCATTACTTTGAACAATAGACGTGAGATATCTAAAGCGTGTAATCTTATTAATGACTTGATTGCTCAAAGTAACAATCCGCCCACTAGATCTATTACTACTAAAATTACACTCCATATACTAAAACAAAAACTTTTAGACTCTAAGATTGACCTCGATAATTCAAGTTTTTCTTCAACTCCCTCTCTAGTCTTATCAAAAAGAAGAATATCATCAACAAAAAGTACATCCTCTTGCAAATACCTAGTGTACATCCATGACTAAAGAAAAAATATATGGGTTTAAAGTTTATCTTTGATGCAATCCAACTAAAATAGAAAAACACTTGGTCAAACCACCGTTTGAACAGAAGTAACAACTCTTGCATACATATTATTAATGACTTTAATATAGGCATTGTTAACTCATTTCTTTTCTAGAACTCTCCAAAGCACTTCTCTTTAAACTTTATCATATGCTTTCTCTAAATTAACAAATATCACATATAGATCCTCCTTACTCTCTCTATACTTCGCCATCAAATCTATCAATAAATGTATAGTTTCCATGGTAGTCTTACTCGGCATGAATCCAAACTGATTTTGAGAAACATAAGTATTTAAGTCATATCTCAAGCTCAATTATTCTCTCCCATAATTTTAATGTATGACACATTAACTTAATTCCTCTATAATTCGCACACTCTTATGCATCATCTTTATTCCTAAAAATAGGAACCAACACGCTCCTCCACTCATCTGACATTTTTTTAGTATTCAAAATAATATTAAAATCTTTATTAAGCCAATAAATTCTTTCATCTCCTAAGCATTTTACACCTCTATTGAACATCATCAGATTCAACAGTTTTTCCTAACTTCATTCTCTTTAAAGCATCTCTAACTTCAATTTTACTAATACGACAATAAAAACAAAAAATATTTATTTTTGTTTAGAGTGTTAAGGTCACTAAAATCAATCATATTCTCACAATCATCATTGAAAAGCTTAGCAACATATCTCATCCACCTATGAAAAACATCATCTTCTAAGAAAAGTACTTTTTGATATTCATTCATAATGCACTACATTTAACTAGATCCTTATTTTCCCATTTCTTTGCTTGACTAACTTATACATACATATTTTGTCCTCCTTAATTTCTAATTTATTATATAAATCACTATAAGCTAAATACTTTGCATCGCATATTAACTTTTTATACTCCCTATAAGCCCTTCTATACCTTTCTCAAATTTATGAGCTTTTATATATAAACTAAATTTCATAACAAAGCTTCATAATTTTATATTTTCTTAAACATTTTGATTTCATCACTAATTATTTTTCCTATGATAACATTTTCTTTTTTATACTTGAAGTACATACTTTGCAATATTTTTAATATCATTAGCTACTTTTTTGCACATAACATTAGCTTCCTCATGAACAACCAAAATCATGAATCTTACTCTCCAAAATATATTTATTAGCATTTCTTTAAATGCCATCATCTAATACTAGGATAACATTTTACTTTATTTTTATATTTCACGCCTTCATTTTAAAGTCCAAACTAATAAGTGATATTAGATACATAAACTTTCACTATGAATGATTTAATAATTTTTGCAATCTAAATGATCTATTTTTCTGTATAAAAAAAATCAATCTAAATTTTACTATATCCATTCTTATAAGTGATGAGGTGCTCATTTCTTTTCTGAAATAAGGTATTAACAATTACAAAATCATAAATTAGAACAAAATATAATATGATCCTGCCACCTTCATTAGTTGCTCTAAATTCATAACTACCATAAAGGCTTTTAAAATCTTTTATCACTCTATTAGTATATTCATTTAAAACTCATCTAATAAAAATTATTTATTCAAGAAGTATCATTTATATTAATAATTCTCGAAAATCATTCCAATATTTTAATTTTGAATACATATCCAAACCAACTTGCGAAGAAAAAACACTTATAATATTAATAATCTTAACATCAACATCAATCTTTAATGTTATAATTCTATCTCCAATTCTATTAATTTCTACCATATTATTCAAACTCTTATTTATAATCACACCCACAACATTTCTAATACAACTCATTCTTGAATACCATAATTTAAATAAAAAACTATCAATTTCCTTAGTTTTTTCTCCAACACATTTAGTTTCCTGAATAAATAGAAAATTATAAGAAAATTATGCGAGAAGAGATAAATGCTCTATAAAGGGATCACATTTATTAGATAGTTGAGTAATAAAATAAAAAATATAGTGGGATGTAAACTAGGGTTTACATTAAATATATAGGGCCAAATACGTATGTAACACCCAAAATTTACATATTTAAAAAACAAACATCCAACAACCTCCATTTGTAATAATATTAGCCAAATCTCGAAGAGCACAACATAACTCCAACTTGTATTTTTCGCTTTCATTAAATTCTCAGCAAGTTGGTCATGACATGAACAAATGCATGAGTTTGTTAATTCATTTGTTTATGTAGAGTGTCAAATATGAAAATAATGAAGATTTGAGTGGCATGACTACATATGTTAATTTACCCACAAGCCAAAGGTATCTGATAGGAAATACTCGAGTTCGCAAGTAACCCTAAGGTAATACTTGAGTTCGCAAGCAAACCTAACCCAAATCGGTGAGCAAACAGCAGCCAAATGGCTGTCCACAGCAGGAAAACAGTGAAAACAGCGGAAAACTGAAGAAAAACTGATGGAAAATGTAGAAAAACAATTGCAAACGATTGTATTCCCCTAGTAGTTGCAAACAACAAGCAAGATACAATTTTCCTTCAATTCGAGAGGAAGGAAAAACTCTTCAAATCTCTAGCCATAGACTAGAGCCCAAGAACACCAAAACCTAGATCTCAAATGAAGATTCAAATTCAAGATTATCCCCCCCTTTCCTCCTAACCTCCTAATTAACCATAAAGGAGTTTTACAAAATGTCTAAACAGCCCCTCGCATTCAAAATTTCTCTCCCAAAACTCCTCCTTGGCCCCCGTCGGATGTGCCCGTTCCGCTCGGTTCCGCCCGCCCTGTTCTGTTCCGCCTCGAGTAGGTGTGGACCGGTCCGGGTTGGACCGGTCCAGCCGGCTCAGGTGCCGGCCTAACAGTATCCAAAAGGGTCTCAACTATAAACCGGGTAAAAAGCATGAAACTTCAAAATTGGAAGGCAGTATAGACGTTGCTTATGTGGGATCACTTGTTCATACAAGGTCAAGTTCAGTCTATTATAGATGATGAGGAAATCTTATATCATTAAGAGTAGGAAACAATCAATCGTCTAAAAATTGAGTGCCAGGAATAGGTTCAAAGTAATTGCATAAGGAATCTGGGAATTACTATGATTGCAAATAATTCTAGAAGACTTGAAGATTAAATAGGAAAGACCAATAGGCTATACTTGAATAATAAATCTACCATTAGAATTGCCTAAAATCCAGTGCAAAATGATCAAACTAAACAAGTGGAGCAGTTAAAAATCTAAATTGTGGGTTGATTTACACTCATATCCCAATAAGCAATCGACACATTAATATATTAAAAAAAAACTATAATCTTGCATTCATAAATATTTCAAATAAGCTAGAAATGATAAATTTATGCCATCCAGCTCGAGGGGAGTGTTTTCTTACATCATAATTACATGTGCTTTTGATCGCAACATAATCATCATGATAACACTTGATCGCGATGTATCAAAAGACCTTTAGTCATAACGCATGTGTGATGGATAGTCTCTAATTTAAAATATTATGAACTATGAAATTCAATTTAGAATACATGCATTTGATGCATGTATATTTTTACTAGTAAATATAAATGGGAAATCACTCCCATTATTTTTCATTTGAAGGTAAATATGGCAGAACTGCTTTGGTGAAAGAACAATAAGGAAAAGAAAATCATGTATTAGTTAAGTGATGATGAATCTATACTGTAAATCATGGCATATTGTCCATAGCGTTGTTTTCCGTCTTACTTTCACATATCCATGAATGCTTCAATGCATGTTACTTCTAAGCCCGTAACTTTTTGATAGGGAAACCATATTCTCTAATAATTTCAAGAATTGCCAATATTCATTGCTTGAAAAATTGCTAATACTTCTTGCCTCCTCTTGACTAAGTTAAACAAATTATCGGTTCCTAGAAAAGGACCACCGAATAAACAGAACTACATCTACACTCCTACAGACATAATCAAACTTGCATAGAAAATGGCTGCCTCGCTTGAAGCCCAAATGCAAGTTGTTGTACACCAAAATCCTCAAAGTCAGCAGAAGAAAGAATAGCTAAGAAAGCTTAATTAAGAAAACCTAAAATCAGATACTGCTCGATAATTTCATCCACGCATAATCATTGATTAAAAGGGACATAAGGAAGCATTGAAATGGGTGAAACAGCGAAGGGGCTTAGAGAAATGGTTTGCCGAAGGAAGGATACAATATAATAATAATTAATTAAAAATATAAATACAACAAAAGAAATGAATAGATCTTATAACTGACAAAAAGAACAAACTTGTTGGAGAGCGGTCACCCCTTTGTCAGTGCGCCCAGTTACAACAACACAGCCTTCCACTGGTAATGATCTTTCTTTAAGCTGCTGAACTTTCCTTTCATCAACAAATATACCAAGGGACTTCTCCACTAATCTGAAAAACCATAGTTCAAAACGTGAAATACAATTTAAACATTGAAGCCAAACATAGCTAAAAAGTTTAACAAACCCTTGAACAGTGTTTAAACCAGGCTGTTTTTGCCATCCGTCAAAAGAACTTCCGTGGTATGAAAGAACTATCTTGAAGGTTATTCTTTCCAACCTGCCTTTCCTTTTTTCAGAGGGTACATCCACTAGGTTCGATTCCTCATCACCATGACAGTATTCTAAGGCAACCTTTGATTTATTATTCTGTAAACAGAGGTAATGGATAAAACATATACCCGTGCTCAAAGGAAAAAAAAGGTCTAAAAGTAGGCAATAATCCACAAGTGCTAAAATATCCTCGACAAAAGTAGGAAAAAATCCCATGGGCTGTAGACAAAAGATGATCCTCGCAAAAATTGTAAATGGGCGGACTCAGGATTGTATGTCGTCAACCACAATAAGTCAGACACATGAATGGATTTAAAACACGACAGTATATTAACAAATAAACATGAGGTTGTGTCAAGCAGTGATGATCAGTACACTCGTGCAGACAGTGGAAATAAAAGAACAAGAAAAGGGAAAAGAATTATGAGTTCAGTAAATTACCATACAAAATGTTCCTAAAGAGTGAATAAATTTAACACTTGTGGCGGGTTAAAAAATTCACAGTAGTAAAATGAAAGAGTTTTGAGTCTTACTTATGTACAAATATCCAGCACATGAAAGAGTTATGAGTCTTACTTATGTATAAATATCCAGCACACAATCAGATAAATGAAAACACACTATAGTGACATCAGATTTTTACATGGAAAACTTGGAAAGGGGAAAATTCTTGGGGCTCTAACTAGTTGAAATGGTTTCACTATGTGAGCATTAATTACAAATATTTGCCCGTCCCTTAATGTGGAGATAGCAAAATCACAAGAGTGGAGATATGGTTATAAATTTCAGAGTGGGTAGGAGATAAAAGATGTTCGGACGATTGTGATTGAGTGATAATGGTTCGATAATGTTATACATGCAACAGTGACTCAAGAATGGTGATTGGGTGGTGGCAATCCAATGATGGTGGTAGACTGATGGTGGTGGTCTGACAAGGGCAATCGATATGTGGTGGTTTGATGTTGGTAGTTAGGCAATAGTAGTGGTCCGACGACTATGGTCGTGCAACAACAATCCAACAAGAGCATCCAAGCAACAACAGTCCAACATTGGTGGTTCAGGGAAGGTAGCTTTATGCCTCCTCAATATGGGGTTATTAGTGGAACTCCTAAGGTTGATTATACTATCTTAGCTAACCTTAGAAAGTTCCCATAAAATTGAGTATCTATGATGCTTTAATATTGTTTAAGGAGATGAGGGAGACCTTAATCAAGGCTTTACTTGATCCAGACATTTACATAGCTCAATTAATAGCAACGTTGCTTGACGAAGCTTTTACTTCAAGGATGTTCTTGGGGTAACATTCTATGAAAATGATTTACACTTAATAACGGTCGATCATAATCGTCCACTTTACACCTCTGTAAATGGGGACAACTTAAGGCTCTCTCATACCTTTGTTGACTTGGGTGCATCAGTTAACATAATGTCTCTCAAAACTCAAACCTAATTAGAGTATGCTATGAGGTTTTAATGAAAAAAGTGAGAGTTTTAGTTTCATCACCATGTTATTAGAAGTTAAGGGTTTTAAAACCTAAGCAAAATTCCATATCAACGATTTAGAAGAATCATTTAATGCTCTTTTGGGTGAACTTTGGGTACACGTGCATAGGTGCATTAAATACACTGCGAGATTATTGGGTAGACCATGGGTACATTAGTATAAGGTAGACCTTGGTTCCATCCTACCTACATCCATGTATTAAACACTCTCATGAGGATATTGAATATTGTATTAATAGAGATTTGTAACTTGTTTCTATTCATGAAGCTAGAATTTATGAGGATGCAGATTATTATTTACCCAAGAATCAAACATATTTCTCCACAAACATCAAATTGATCAAAGAAAAAGAAAAAGAAAGAAAAGAAAATAAAACATAAATACATAAATACATAACCCATCCTTTGCTTCATGTGAAAGTAATATAATTCTTTTACCTTAGCTATCATTAAGGGTGTAAATGACCATCATGTAAACAAACGAAGCTTTGTCGAACTTGTTTCATTAGTCAGTCTAAGTAGATAAAATGAGAAACGCTTCTTTAGTCTAGTATTCATCATGGCCCACCAACATCTCCCATTATCTATTAAGAATAGCCCGATGCTTTAGTCTAGTATTCATCATGGCCCGCCAACATCTCCCATTATCTAGTAAGAATAGCCCGCTGAAACGTAATGGAACTAAATAATCCAAAGTGCACTCATAGATTTTGGAAGGAAAGTATGATCGCCTCCTCTACTGGAATAACCTTTATGTAAGAGACTAGAATAACCATCTTTGAAAATTCATTCATAATCACCCCACATAGACGTAATCATGCCCCATCTTTGTTTTTTTGGCAATACTCCCATAAATTCATGGGTATGCTTTCCCACAAACAACTTGGTGCTGGCAACAGCATATACAATCCCACTTCCTGTTTGGAAATTTGGGGGCGCTATAGAATATACATCCTCTAATGTAATTAACATCTTCCTCAATACTTAGCTAGTAAGCATATCGTTGCAAGTTCTACAATATCTCTCCATTCCAAAGTGTCCATACACCTTCGATGTGTAAGCTTCCTGCATCCATTGGACTTGGTTTGTAAAATCTAGCATGCACAACTACCCACATTTGTAGAGAAGGTCATATCTGAAAGCAAATCTTAGGGAATTACCTTCTCCAAGTTCTCCAATCTCTCTTTAAGAATGGATTCTTCTGGTACTACTCCTGATAATCTTTATGTGAAGGAGGATCAAGTTACAAGACATTACAAAAATATAGAGAGAGAGAGAGAGCCAAATGAGCATGTTGTAAATTTTATTAGAAATAATCATCAGGTTGAATTGTTGGAAGAATGCCATCGACTTACTATGTTGAGCATATTGTAGTTTAACCAGAGTCAACAAATACTAAAGTGGATTGTGGTCCATAAGTACCACAATATCCTTCCCAAAAGGTAAAAACGCCCATGTTTTCTCACTTGATGTAGCACTAGCAACCCCTTCTCGTGGGTGGATGTGGGCTCCGAAAATTCGGCCCCGGCCTCCCCGCCGCGCTTTTCTTATCGGCAAGGGAGTTTTAACGGACTAAGTTCCGAGGTAAATTTTGGAAGGCAGATGGGTTTGTAGATAAGACACTACCTAGAGATTTCGCCCTCATTTTGTGAGGACTTTATGATCTGAGTTCTGGTTTCCTATAGGCGCAAGCCCCTATAGTTAATTACCCCTCCCGATCACGAGAGAGAACTTTCGATTAAGGCTAGTCATCAATCAGATACGTATAAAATACACGTTATCTGGCATATAGTAGCAGCAATGAATATGGATTGGAATTCGGCAGCCATGGGTTGCTTCG